GTCTTTCTCTCGCTGTCCTTCTCTCTCTCTCTCTCTTTCTAGCTGTTGCTACTCGGGATTGGGTTGTATGACGCAGTCTTGAAATAGTGAAGTCGACAGTCGACATAGGTAACAGATCAAATTAGCTTCGCTTTCGCACGAGAACGCGTTCCCGAAACGTTATGCGAACGTGCTGGGGCCAAATGGCGCGTCCAAACTTCGAACGTTCCGTTTGTGATCTGGTTTGTATTGTAATGCGCCCATGCCTCAAGTTCCCGCGCAGCGAGAACAAGGTTGGTTTCTTGCTCCATGTTCCCAGCATGCCGCTGACTCGGGAACGAGAAATCAAAGTCGCTTGGCGCAGCTCCGGGAGGCAAACGTTGAGACGGTAGAAACGATTCAATAATTAATTGAACATATTTCAAGTTTTGATTCAAGTCGAGAAACGGCGGGAATATATAACAGTTCCTTTTCTTTTGCATCCCTCCTACATCAATGTTGAAATAATTGTCCTTCTCGTTCTCATTCGCGGACGCTTGAGGCGGATAGCGTTCCGAATGGCATGGGTACATCCAGAATTGATTGCCAATTTTCTTGAGGTCTTTTGGAGGATATCTTGAGCCATGCTCGGCTAGAGGCTGTCGGAGGCTACCTTGAGCCATGCTCCGCTATCTTGGGCCATCTTGAGGCTGCCATGAGGCCTTTTGGAGGGCTGTCGGAGGCTATCTTTGAGGCCATGTTGGCCATCTTAGGCAATTTTGAAGGCTATCTTGGACTATCTGGGGCTCCCTTGGAGCCATCATGGGCCAAAAAGGGCGATATGGAGGGTCTTCGGGGCCCTATGGTTTTTTTGTATATTAAAAAAATGAGAAGCAATTCGAGCCCTCCTCGGAGGCTCTCAAACAGCATCTTGGGGCTGTTGGAACGGTATTGGGCGCCTCTTGGGCGATCTTGGGGGCGTGTTCGGCTTTCTTGGGCCTCGTTTGGGCCATCTTGAGGCTCACTCCCGCCAGAGAACTGGCGACATGAATCATATTGCTCGTCCGGAGCCTGTATATATGTTCATCGATATGACCACAATCCCTAGCGTGATGAGTGCACACAGGGCCGCGCTGGTTCTGCCAGGAAAAAAGCGATGAAAAAGGGGGTCCCTGGGGAAGGCGTGCAGGAAGCCCCGAAAAACTTACAGCACCCCTCCTGGCCGCCGCTGGGACGCGAAAGGTATCGACACCTTGCGCAGCCACAGCGACAGCCCAGAGGGCGGCGGGCGGAGGAGGGCGCGAGCAAGGCGGCGGAGGAGCGGCAAGGGCGTCAGCAGCAGCCGTAGCAGCAGCTCCGACGAGGAAGACCACCAGCAGAGGCATCAACGCGGCGCCTGGCGCCGCATCAGCTCCGGCGGCGGTAGACGATTCAAGTGTTCAGGCCTTCTAAGCGGTGCTCGGAACCTCGCCACACGGAGCGCTGCGCTAGCACGGTGGCGCGACTTGCCGCAAGTAGCAAGACACCCCCCAAAACCTCCAAGACGGTGTCAGGCCGCCCTCTGGGCGGCCCCCAAAAGGGTTCCTTACCGGGGGGGGCGATCCATGGGGGGGGGAGAAACAGGTGTGGTTTTCGGGCCCTATAAACTCCCTTTTGAACCAACCCTAAAAAGGGTTCTTTAGGGGCTCTAAAGGGCCCCTTTCCTGCAGCCCCCGCTGCCTCCCCATTGCGCGACGCCTAAATGATGGTCCTGGGGCTCAAATCCGGGTGAAAACGCCCGGCGCCAAAATTTGCGACCTTCATATCCCAACGGAGGTCCACGGGGAACAAAGGAGGCATGAGTCGGCCAGGGGGAAGAAGACAAGGAGAGGGGAGGGAAGCAGCGGCGACCGCGTTCAGGTCACCGCGCGACCAGCACGAATCGGAGTCTGTGTGCGCTTGGGCAGATCTATGTGTTACATTGCATCACGCGAGTCAGCCAGCTTCCTCCTCCCCTTCCCTTCCTCGCGCTCCTTCTACTCCTCGTCCCCACTCCTCTTAGGAGGCTCCCTCCTCCACCCTTCCTCCATTTCCGCTTCCTCCTCCTCCTCCTCCTTCCTCGTTTTCGTTCCCTGTGCTCATTTCTCCTCCTCCTCCTCCTCGTTACTACCTTACTTCTCGTCTTCCTTCTATAGGTTGCCCGCCCCCAGCCGTCTCCCCGCCATCCTGCTCCAGCCTCCCTCCTATCACAATCCCGCCTCCCTCGATTTCATCCCCGACTCCTCCTACTGCACGAGGCTGCCGTGCAGAAGGGTTGCGGCACTCGCCCAGCAGCTGTGAACTCGACTCGCGCCCTCTCCAACGCCGCGTAGAGAGAAGCCCCTGCCACCGCGAAGAAGGCGGGCGACAAAGAGCGCGCCCAAACAACGCCGCGCTCGGCCCTGACCTCCGCCACTTCAGCGCCAGGCAGTTGAGCCCCGCGCGCGGTGGCACCGCCGTGCCATGCGGACGCCAACCGCGAGAGTTGCGGCAGACGTGCGGCCGCCTCCGTGAGGAGCGAACGAGCCCCGGTCCAGCTCGTTGAAGTCGCTGGCCACGTCCAGGGAGAGGACTGCGGCCTGGGGGTCCTTCTCTGGCGCGGCCGCCAACGCGCGGCGCGCGCCGTACTGGTGCCGTCCCGCTGCTGCAGCAATGAGCTCTTCGTGCGCCGTGGTAGCCGCCTTCGCCGCCAATTGGCGCAGTGGTCCTCCGCGCGCCAGGGGCCGCGCGCCGCCGGTCGGCTTGAGCAGCGGTGGCAAGCGCCCGGCAAGGACGGCCTGCATTGCGCGCTCGGGGGCCCAGCCCTCCAGGACGAGGGCGAGCACCTGTGCCGGCGCGTCCTTTCCCTCCTCGTGGCCGCGTGGGGCCGCCCAGTGCCTGAGTCGAGCGCCTGACGGCCCGCCAGGGTGGCGCGGGTACTTCCCAAGAGCGCCCGCTGCTTTCTCAGCGGCGTCGGGTTCCCAAGGCGCGGGCGGCGCCGCGTCGGGCGACGGCGGGGTGCGAGCGCCTGGCGCTTCAAGGAGGGCGGCGAGGTCGCGGGCCCAGGCCCCGCCGCCAGCTTGCTCGGGCCTGCGGCGGCCGCGGCGGCCCAGCAAACCTCGCCCAGCACGGCGAATTCGTGCGTGCGGCGCGCCAGTGACGCAGGGCTGCGGTGGGTCTGACGGTCGGCGGCGGGATCTCCGGGTCGCGCGCCACTGCCGCCCGCGGCGCTGCCCAGTCGGCTGCGCAAATCTGGCGGAGACGCCCAAGCAACTCTTGTGCGGCAGGCGGGCGGTCCTGGCTGCTGCCCACTGGCAGGCTGGCGAACAGCAGCCGCGGGGGCAATTCGAACCGGGCCCTGGATCGCGGGCTCCACCGCCACCGTGCGCAAGGCCGCCGCGAACGCGTCGGCGACGGCCTGGTCAGGCTGGCCGGGGCTGCCAGGTCGGTCGGTCGGTCGGGGGAGGTCGCCCGCTTCGGCTGCCAGAGCGTGCCGCGGCTGGGGATCGTTGGAGGGGGCCTCGGTGGCGGCTGGTGCGTCCCCTCCTGGCAGCGCCGCGAAACCTTCCACGCTGCCCGGGGGGATCCCGCCCGCAATGCATGCGGGGGGCCCGAATTACCAAACACGACTTGCCCGGCTCGCGGGCTGGGCCATATTCGGAACGAAGCTTTGGCAGCAAACCTGGCATGCCGCGAGGTCTTTGCGCGGGGCCAGCAAGCTGGCGACCCGCGCGCGCGCCCGCGAAGGGCGCCCGGCAACGGCCGCCGCGGGCGGCCCGTCGGCAACAACGGCGCCAGGGGCGCTGGCGGCGCCAAAGGCGCCACCAAGGGGGGCTGCCGGCAGCTGCGAGCTCGCCGCTGCGTCGCGCTGGGAGGATCTTCGTCGCCATCGTCATCGAGATCGGTCATGCCGCCCACGTCGCACGCCAGAGGTCCCTCTTTCCTGCGCCGTGGGCGCCTCCCTCCTCTCGGATCCGCGGCCCAGGCAAGGGCGGCCCGTGGCGAGGGGGGGAAAGACGAAGGCAAAGGGGAGAACGAATAGGAAGGGTGAGGCGGGAAGGCCCGGCTGGGCAAGTGGATTCACCCTCCCAATTCTGACAGGATCCTCCTCCTCCTCATCCTCCTTCTTCTCCTCGTCGTCCAACTCCTCCTCCTTTGCTCTTCACTTCGTTTGCTCTCTTCCTCCTCCACTTTCTCCTCCCCCTCCTAATCCTCATCCTCCTCCTCCGCCCCTCCCACTTCTGCTCCCTCCTCCTCATCCCCCCCTTCCTTTTCTACAGCTCCTCGTCCTTCTCTTCGTCCTCCTCCTGCTTTGCTCAGCTCCTCCTCCTCCTCCTCCTCCTCCTCCTCCTCCTCCTCCTCCTCTACTCCTTCCATGCCTGACTCGCTCCTCCTCCTCCTTTTTCTCCTCCTCCTCCTCCTCGTCCTCCTCCTCCTCTTTCCTCGTCCTCCCCGTCCTCCTCTTCCTCCTCCTCCTCCTCTTCTTCCTCCTCCTCCTTCGCCAACTTACATGCTTGTTGCGCGACTTGAAGAACAAATCATCCTGCTGTGGAATCTCACTACACACCGACAAGACCAATATTCTCACCAACGTCAGCCGGAGGGCTTGCAGAACAATCACGCACATCGTCTTAGATGGTGCACGCATAGACATTCTACCCAACGACCAGGAGTACGAAATACTTGGGCAGAAAGTTATCGTTCCACGACTTCCACGGACATATGCAGAAAAACAGGGTCGCCGCTGGATGGTCGATGTTTCACAAACTACGGTGCGAAATTACCAACAAAAAAGCTCCCATTGCACAGCAAACTCCGACTCTTCAACGGCGCGATCACACCATGCGTTATGTACGGTTGCTCTTCGTGGACACTCACCAAGAATATGCTCATCACGCTACAACGAACACAACGGAACATGCTCCGACTGATCATAAATACGCAGAGAAAACGGAACACGCTGGAAGCAAGCAGGCAGACAACACGCGCCGGCTGCAACACCAACAACGGTACACGTGTCGACGTCGACGACACCGAATCCAGCACGACACCAGGACCGACAACAGCACCAGACGACGACGACGACGACGACGACGACGACGACAGCACCAGCACCAGCACCGACCACAGCACCAACACCAACACCGAACACAGCACCAGCACCAGCACCAACACCAATCGAAAACAGCGCCAACACCGACAATAGCACCTGCACCGACAACAGCACCAGCACTGACAGCAGCACCAGCACCAACACCGACACCGACACCAGCACCGACAACAGCAACCGACGGACACAACGACGATGGATCTGAGTCTTGGGTTCATTTCATACGGAAAAGAACCTCCACCTCTTTGGCACACGCCAAACGAGCACGAGTCGACGATTGGACCGGCGTATACTTCAAGCGAAAATGGGCGTTCGCAGTACGCGTGGCCAACCACGATCACGACAGGTGGACACGACTGACTGCAAGCTGGGACCCATATACGGCAGGTTCGCGTCGTGTCGACCCCAGCGTTGGTTTCTGACACCGCAGGGATCGTTCAACCTTGAACGATCGGCCGTTCCCGCAACGTCCAATCGTTCAACATCGACCGATTCTGGGTCGCCGGCGGCGTTCAACGTTAAACGCCGCGGGCGGGGTCGCCGACGGTCGACACGACGCGAACCTGCCGTACACACGACCTACGCTTAGCCTTTCGCCGACATGGCGGGCAACAGAAAACTTTGGCATGATGACGTTGTATCTTATCTACACGACGTGGCCGACACCGACAACGATTCCAAATGGTGGGTGTTGGCCCAGAACCTACCATGGTGGAAGACTCGTGAAGAAGGCTTCGTGGACTATATGCGTCGCTTCCTCCACTCCTGCAACTACAGCGAGTGAACCTTCTGGCGCTCCGGCGCCCCCGCCGGGCTCTCATAGGGCCGACCCTCCAGGACGTTTTTCGGCGCTCTCTTTCTCTCTCTCTCTCTCTCTCTCCTCCTCCTCCTCCTCCTTCCTCCTCCTCCTCCTTCCTCCTCCGCCTCCTCCTCCTCCTCCTCCTCCTCCTCCTCCTCCCTCCTCCTCCTCCTCCTCCTCCTCCTCCTCCCTCCTCCTCCTCTCCTCCTCCTCCTCCTCCTCCTCCTCCTCCTCCTCCTCCTCCTCCTCCTCCTCCTCCCTCCTCCTCCTCCTCCTCCTCCTCCTCTCCTCCTCCTCCTCCTCCTCCTCCTCCTCCTCCTCCTCCTCCTCCCTCTCCTCCTCCTCCTCCTCCTCCTCCTCCTCCTCCTCCTCCTCCTCCTCCTCCTCCTCGTTTGCTCGACTCCAAGATTCCAATATTGCCAAAATGGAGGTCCGCGCGCGCCGTGGCCCCCCGGAACCCGCGCATGGAAGGGCTGCGCGCCCCCTGCCTGGCGGGCAGCAAGGTCTCGGAGCGCCGCCAATTCGCAACCTGGCCGAAAGAGAAATGCAAAAGTCCGTGTGGTTTCAAGCCCAAAAGAAACCTCTGGACGGCCTTGCGCACCGTGAGGTCGCGGGGCCGCATTCATCTCGGAGTCTTCGGCTCCGATGGGCGCCCCGCCCCCCGCGCTTCAAACGCAACGTGCCACCGTGATGGACGCGGATGTTGAGTCCGCGGGATTCGCGAGTCCCCGAAATTCGTAATTCGGGCGCGACGGGCTTCGTGGCCCAGCAGGCTTTGCCTGAGGTCCGTGCCCCGGCTTGCCTTCTGGACCTCGCAAGGCCTCCGAACTTTGGGATCTCGTTGCGCCTTAAAAATCCTAAATCCGGGGCCCTCGGTCCAGGCTTAATTCTGTTGTGGGCTCGGCGTTTCACGACAAGGCTCATTTCTTCGTCAGGATGTCTAACATGTTCCAGAACCCCTTCTGAGAACTTAAAGATCTTGGTCGCGCGGCCGGCAGCTGCATCGGCGCCGCGGTTGGCCGCGTAGAAAACGGGGTGGTCGGTGCCGGAATCAACATTTTCGATCACCTCATGCTTTTTGGTCTCGTGGAAGGGGAAAGGGT